AGGTTCAAAGTAGGTCTGCTTCTCCTCCACATTGAGAGGAATCAGCTGAGATGACTCAGACACCGTTTTCTAGTATTCCCTGGATACCTTCCCCCGGATGTGTTCTATGCATGTCCCAACAGAAGGAGGCCCAGGGGATGACCCGGGGCACTATAGAGGGAGTGTGTCTCTTGGTCAGACTGCTAGCCCTATGGGCTTCCCCATACAGAGCTGGAGGAGGTTTTTGTGGAGAGAAAAGTCTAGGTGTCTCTACTGAAACTGCTGCTAGCAACATGCTCATCTGAAATTCCTAAATTGGTATCTTTTTCATTCTTATATCCACTGACTACAACTCCAGCACTATGTAAAAAAAAGTGCACATGCAGCAAAATGTAACTTATGACCAAGTTTCTGTTTCAGTGGACCCTGATACCACAACACTGAGACCAGAATATACATAGCAGATAAGAGCCAACAACATGTGGAATCCACTGATGTCAAACTAAGTTACATTGCTCTAAAACCTTAGGGGTTCCATTGTCTTTTTTCACTATAAACATGCATAAAGTTTTAGTTGGTTGTGTAAAAATCAGACAAGCTACAAATGTCACTCAGATGTTGTAGTTTCAATCTACAATGTATATTTCATTTTTTCCATCATGAGCAAGAAGTTTTGTATTTAAAACCAGTTCTTTTTTTTTTAAGTGAAATCAATTTTTGGGGCATCTAAACCTAATTCTTTCAGGCACAGGATAATTTACTTTAAACTGTTTCCATCCACATTATCCTCCAGGATATACCTGTAGATTGTTACCAAGATTAGAAGTTTAGGCATTGTAGAAGTTGAGAAATGCCTTATAAAGTATTGGTATGCATTTTTGGAAAACAGTTTAGGACCCAATGCAAGAATCAGGCACAGCATTGAAGCACTGTTCAAGAGTCTAAAATTGGTTTAAAATAAAGTACAGTCGAGCAGTAGGCATTAAAAATGAGTTGTCTGGCATTTCACTCTGCACTTTCAGGGTACCGAAAATAGACATGCAAAAGCAACCTAGGAGAGATATTGTTTAGATGTGTCTTTGTGCAGTGGGAAGAAGCTGGTATATTTAGTGAAGTATGCAGTTGTAATATAACCAAATGTGTAGAAAATCAAGTGATTCTAATTTCTTTCAATGCACTGTTTATTTCAGTGTGAATAAATCAAATGTATACCATAGTCCCAGAGTGCCACTAGTTGGTTGTGTTTTTCTAACATACCACGATTTCTTGAAAATGTGATATTGACCACCTTAGTCTTAGTCTTTTACCCCTGAGAGGTCAAAATCTTAAATTTTAAATAAATTGTAACTCAGTTTGATTCAAACAAGATCTTACTTTTCCAGCTATGCTGCTTTATTGTACATTTATATAGAGCTGGAAGTAGGCTGTGAATTCCTGTTCTTTGTAAAGCAAAAAATATGAGTATGTTGTAAAACAAGTAAAGTGTGGCATATATTTGACATAAAAGGTCTAACATAAAAAATCTGACCTCATGGCAAGAACTTCTCCAAACTGTATGGTTTGCACAGAAAAAACAACACAACATTGAGATGTGCACTTCAGATTTCGGCAATTTAATTGGGGATTTTCGACACAGAACATGTCAAAAGAGTGAAATAGGAAGAGGGACTGTGTTAAGGATGTTGTCATAGCAACAGTGGGGAAGTTTATGAAATAAAAAAAAGTGATACATCCAGATTGCAAATGTCAAAAGCCATGGTTCATAATGTGTAGGGTTGTGTTCCATTACACCTGACAGGAGTTGCTGGTTACTTAGTGAGCTGAAGTGCAGACTTCGAAATCTACAGTACGTGCCAGCAGGAAAGATACATAGCACTTGAACATTAAAGACAGAGGCAGATGTCTAGGTTGGCAATAACTGAGGAAGGAAAGGCAACAATAGCAGTTGGAGCTCCTCAGTTACACAGTGTGGAGAAGTTTTGGCTCTTGAATTTTCTTTTATTTACTTAGAGCCATTAAGTAGTAAACTTTTTAGTGGGCTTTGAATTATTGTTCTGCGGCATCATCTAAGTGCTTGCCCACAGCGTACTCTTAGGCCAGCTTTCAGAAGCATTTTGATTCTGCAATGTTACTCCACAGTATTTTCAAAAAGTCTTGGAGAAAATTGTTAGTTTTGTTTTTTGCTGTGGCTCTGGTCTTTACAGGTCTTCATCTTTTCATATCTTAACGATCAACAGTGACTTCCACTGAAGAAAATAAGATTAGCAGAGCTTTAGATGTTTTTCTAGCTCATTGTGGGACCTTTTTAACAAATCCTCATTCTTGAAGTTAATTTATTAAGCCAGCTTTAAGTTAGGTGATTCATCTATGTTATGTGTGTTCTCCATTTGTTTACAAAACCTCTCACTGTGTTTTCCACATATGCCCGTACAGCTACACACAGCCAAGCACTTGAGCTCCAAGCCAGTTTCCATGTCAGAGAATGAAAGAGATTACACATAGTTAGTCACAATAAGGGAAAAAAGAAAACCCTCCAACATCTACAGTATATGCAAAGGTGTTGATGGGAGCAGCCTAGCTGATATTTCTCCAGGATGATGTCACAGCAAAATTATGGGAAATCCAGAGAAAACATAAAATTAGGGTTTGAACTAGCAAGTACTGCCGCATGGGAGAATAGAGATGGAATAAAGCAGAATGATGAAAACTGAATCCACTGGACATTTTTTCCAAGTTTGAAGACGTTTTGCTTCCCATCCAGAAAGCTTTCTCAATACAAAGACTCTGGAGTAGTAAGGAGTCCTCCCCCTCTGTTTAAGGTTTGTTTTTCTCTCTTAATGTAAAAGGCTTACTTCACATCCCTTCAAACCACCTGTCGTCTTTTCCAAAATGTGAGCATTTTGGTCCTCAAAGGTCCGTTGTCCTTAAGGTGTAGGTGGACAGCAGAGTCTTGTCCAAAGGAGTTCTCGCTCCTGTGTTGAGCCATGCGTCTATGGAGAGGTTGTTTGGTTTTCTCCAATATAAAGATAAGCACAATGACCTGTTCTAACTGTAGCTCCATCTTCATACTTTTAAAAGGTAGTAAGTCTTCAGTCTTAAATATTTGGATGTGTAAAGGCAATCAAAGAGAAAAAGGCAAATTGTGAAAAAGAAACTGTACATTGGGATGTAAAAAATAATTATAGATTTTTCTTGCCTTCAATGACCTGAAAACCTATGTGGGAAAAGACAGTGACACCTCTGGGAGAGCTTCTCCCAGATTCCGGGGGAGGCTGGAGACATGGAGTCTGAGTGGGCAAGGTTCTCTGTCTCAATTGTCAATGTGGTGCTGTGGCAGTAATGGCTGTCGTGCAAGCCTTCACCAAACCTGGTGGCAGAAACCAGCAATAACAGATACTGACAAGCTTAAGAAGGAGCCCTACTAAGCCTGGATGGCTTTTGGGATTCCCTTAGTCAACAAGCACGTATCATGGGCCCGAGTGTGCCTCTGCCCAGGTGGTCACAGAGGCAAAAATTCAGGCCTGAAAGGTGTTTGGATAGGCCATTGAGAAAGGCTATTGGTTGGCTTCAGGGATTCTGACAGTTGGTTGGAGACAGGAGGTTACCCTGCAATCAAAGGGTTCACGGTTCAAGCCCCAGCTTTGGCTTTCAGTGTTGTTGTGTCCTTGAGCAACACACTTCAACTGCATTGCCTACTGATGTCAGAGGTGGTGCCAGTGTATGGCAGCCTTGTTTCTGTCAGCTGTGGCTACAAGTGACTGACTGAATATACTGTAAAACACTTTGGTCAAGTCTAGCTAAAAAGCGGTATGTAAGTACAGGCGATATGTAAGTACAAGTACAGTATGTGAGTACTGGGTGGTTTACCATTCTGGCAAACCATCCAGTGCCTCCAGAGTGGGAAGCAGTACTAAGTTAATACTGTTTTAGGTGGAAGTGCAGACTCCAGGTGACACGCCTTCCTGGTGGAAGAAGAGACAGGGTGCCGTTTTCGTGCATCACTCAGGCTAAAGTCACCGAGGTGACTTTAGCCTGAGTGATGCCTGAGGTACATTAGATATTAGCCCGAGGTACATTTGATATCTGGATGTTGTAAGGCCTTTGTGTTTGACAAGCCTTTTTTAGCACTATGTACAGGTGTGGGATAGTGCCCCTGAACTGGCAGACTAGTGTGGTGGTCCCCCTGCAGAAGAAGAGGGTACCGAAGGGTGTGTTCCAATTGTAGAGGGTTAAAAATTCTCAGTCTCCCCAGGAAAGCCTATGCCAGGTTGCTGCAATGGAGAGCTCGGCTGTCTGTCAAACCTCGGCTTCATGAGGAGCAGTATGGCCTATCTCCTAGCCATTGTACAGTGGATCAGTTCTAAGGCTTTGCAGAGTGTGCAAGGGAGATTGCCTCACATACATTTTGAGGGCCTGGAGAAGTAATTTCATTTCACAAAAAGAGAAGGCCAAGAAGACATGCTTCCATCTACTCCCATCTATAGCATTTTGTCAGAAGTGGACCTTACAAACAGCTGTAATCAAAAGGAACTTGCCATGGACCGTCATCTGAGAAAAGTGGAGGGCGAGATGCAAAGACTGTCTTCTTCCTTGTGTCAGGACATCTCACAAGTTCAGATGTCCTCCTTCCACTCTGGACCAGAACATTATCTTAGAACCTGAAAGTAATAAATCTTTGTTCTACAACCACAAATACCAAATAACACCCAATGTTAACCAGACTCCTGCTATTGGTGTGCAGGAGTTCAAAGGAAAACTGATACTCAGAAAAAAAAAACAACAACAAATAGCAGATTTCATTGAGGTAAATTAACTTTTAAATATATGTGGTGAATGGTGGTGCAAAAAATATTATGTTTTAGCTGCCATCTGCTGCAATGGGCAAAAATGAAGACAACTGATACTGTACTAGTAAAACATCAACATGAAAAAAATTTATCTCATCGTAGACTGAGATCTCATTAATAAATCACACATCAAATAAAAATTACCTTCAGCTTTAATTAGTCAAGCAGCCAATTTTCAAACAGAGATACAGTAGAAAAATATGAACATGATAAGGACCACTGTCTAACAAAAAGGGGATGACAAATTCTTTGAATGAATTCCAAAGTTTTAAACATCTTTTACTACATTGGTTGTTTTAAGGGATCAGAAATCTCTAGAGTTTAATGTAGACTAAACATATGAGAACATAAAACGTCTTGCACACCCGTCGAAAATGTTTCCTTTTCTTGCAGTATGAATGTTTAAAAGGAAAATCCATAAGGATATTTAGAAAAATCTTTAAAAGTACATCTATTCATTGGTTTTGGGGGGTTGGGGGCATAATAAAAAAATATTGTGTTTAAACAGAATCACCAGTGCCAGAAGTAGTTACTACTCAAGTAGTTCCTGCAATGGCTGAACAAAAAAAAACACTCAAACCAAGACATACTGTACAACCAACAAAATTAACAATAACTAACTTTAAGATATAAAACAATATAAATTAAAAGTAATTCAAATCTTGATAAAAAATGTTTAAGAATATGCTGCAATTTTGTCTTTAATATCTATTGTTGCAATTAGTTGAAAGTTTGCAGTTGTGCCTAGTTCAAAAAAACCTTGTGTTTGCTGATATATCCTAGCCTTTCTCTTTCATTGGCTGTTTGGAACATATGTTATCAGCTGTGTCAGTTATCTTTCAAACTATCTTGCTGCTTCCAGAAAATATCCAAGCATTTTGTTTGACAGCGACTGAGGTTTTGCCCTGCTCCACCCATACTTCCAACTGTCGTCTTCATTTCATGTACAAAAAGGTTTCTCTGCCACCCTGTTGTGCCATTACGCGCAACTAGTGCACACTGACAAAGAAAATAGCCCACTGAAAATCAGGGGTAAATAGTAACAACTTAAATGTGTAGTGTGTCCCCACTTTTAGTCAGATATGCTTCAGTCCTGATAGGTGAAGAAATACTGTAGGCAGAAATTCATTGCTGCTATCACCTTGCCCATGTCTACAATCAGAGCATTTAAAAAAGAAGTGGAATGTAGCCAAACAAGGCATGAACAGGACCCAAAATGTATCTTGCCACTAGCCTTTAGGAGGAGATTGATAAGAGCAAGTTAAAAAGTATCCTAATCTTAAACTTGAAGCTTTGCACTCATCTCCAGCAGGGGTGTCCATTGGTGTGGGCTCTTTATGGAGTTGGGTAGAAATCAGCATTAGAAATCACAACTTTTTGGCTGTAAAATGTCTAATGTAAAATATTTGTGATATTGATACAGTTAAATCCAGAGGTAAAGCTACTTTAGTATATGCCGAGAGGGGTGGGCAACAGTAAAAAAACACAAAAATATAAAACAGATGAACAGAAGATTTAAAATTATATAAATATAAGAACCCAGAATTCAACAATGATAAGGGAATTTAATAGTACAGAACTAAATCATCTCCAAGTGCACGGGGTATTAGTTATCTACATAGTTTTTTCAGATAAGACAGACATGGTTCCTCATAAATAACATCATGCTTGGATCTGACTTTTGGAGACTAAACAAAGCTAAAACCAAACCAAACAGCACTTTACAAAATGTTACTGTAGGCATAGTAACTCTAAATGGAACTCTGCATTAATTTACAGTACAAAACTGCTTTAGATTTTAGTCTCATATGCTCTATAATTTTCATGGTAAAAGACAGATATAAAATAAAAATTACAACATATAGAACTGTAAAACATAATTCAAAGTAAAAAGTAAAATCAAACAAATATTGAGCTCAGTAGAAGACAACAAACATTTAAGCAACACTGAAATTCCCACTTTAAACCTTTTAACTATGCTGTTGAGTGGAAATTTAAATCTTGTAAATGGTTGCCCAAACCATGTGAGAGAACTGTCACAGAATCAAAAGTGACAGTGATCTGTTCAGTTTCCAAGATGAGGTCTTCTCATAACTACAGCCATCAGATTGCTTCCTTTTCCATCTCCTTATAGCATCCTATTCTCTCCCTCCTTCTCATAAAGGCATTCAGGTGAGTTTCTCTTTAGTTCAATGAAAACTCCCAGAACCTCTTATGCAGTGTTTTTAATTGCATTCTCATTAAGCTTTTCCATGTAGTTCCTAAGATCCTTTGAGTCCCCGAGCTCAATGTCTGGACAAACCCATTTTATATCACTGGTCTGCACCAGCGGCAATGGACTAAGCACTGGACATCCATTACTGGCCTTCACATTGGAGAAAGTGGAGAACTTTACTCTCTTCCTTTTTGTGGTTGGTGAGTTAAGCGACTCATTCCTCAGATCTCTTCCACTGGTACTACATCCACTACTGTCTGTACTATTGCGCAGGATACCTCCGTTTAAAAGCTGGCTACCTTCTTCCAAGATGCCGGTCAGTTCTTCATGTTGTTGTTGCTGCAGACAAAGCCCCTCCTCTTGGCCTAGCCAAACCCAGTCATGAGCATGGGGCATAGTCTCTGGGGCCTCTAGAGAGAGGTGTTTACTTCTGTACTTGTATGTATAAGAAATGCAGTTGATGAGAAAAACCAGGATGGCCAGACAGAAGACTCCCAGTAGGGCATACATACCGATCTCCAAGTCTGTTAGCCCACGCCTTGATGGCAACAAGTCATCATCGGTACTGCGACTCCGAGGCAGCTCTGGGTATTCTGAGAAGTCATTTAGGTTCCTGTTCCCACTGTCTGATGATAAGCGACCACCATTAGGTCTCACTGGAACTTGGCCTCTAATAGTTGTGGCAGCACGGTTAATTAATCCATTGTCCCTGTCAGAAATAGAGCCACCATAATACGGAGGATCCGGACGTGTCCTCCTGTCTCCTGGTTTACTGTACTTCTCCTCTGAGTGACCAAACTTTACCTGTACATTCACCATTCCTGTTGCTAAAGTAGAACGTCGTTTGGACTTCTGGCACAATTCTGATGCACTCATCTCCACACGTACAAGCAAACCCTGGCCTTCACCTTTGGCAACAATGATCGGCCACTTCCATTTTGCACTCTGCTGCACACCCACCACCTGTTCATCCAGAGATGTGGCTGTCAGTGTAAAATGGGCAGAATTATAGTTGTCCAGAGGAGTCATAGATCCATCACTAAACTGAAGCCAGGCACTGATAAGCGATTCCTGTAAAAAATAATACAAAACATACCAAAATATGAAATAGGAGGACATGAGTGAAGTGAAACTCACAGAAACTCAGTATAAATCTTCAGATTCAACTAAAAGGAGGACCAAAATAAACCAGAGGCACAACGAATGCAATATTTTGTATTACTTACAGTAAAAAAGCCTGTAATATATTTGAAAAAAATCCCACATGTAGGTGCTACTAACAAAATTTAAACATACAAGAAGAAACTTTGATACATGAGAAATATTCTAACAGAAAATTGCAAAAATATGGAATAAGAGTTCACTAAAACAATTTTTATGAAAATAAAACATGAATTTATTTTCCTTCTGGTCAAGCGCATGATAAAAAACTGAAAGAAAATTATTCTGTATTCACAATTTTTACCTGTGTCAGTGAATCGATGACTTCCTGTGTTGTTGCAGTAGCAACAATGGCTCTGCTGCTTCCAGGGCTCAGTTGTAGGGACAAAGAGAGTCCAGAAACCAACTGCACCCCAAGCTCTGTCACACTCACTTTATCATCCAACACCCTGATGCGCCTTTCTGCCAGGACTGACGATGTCAGAGGGGATACAACCTGTAAGAAGCAAAAAATATATATTTTTTTCTGGTATTTTCAAATACAAAAAAAATCTAGAAGCTCCTCTGCTTACACTCATTACTAAATATCCAATCTTGCAGGCCTAACTCAGAGTGCATTTTTGATAGACCATTTTTTGTTTCCCATCTTATAAATTAACTCACTACCACTGATTTGCAGATTAGTAGGAAATACATTTTAAAATTATAAAATTTTACATCTTGCACTATCACGACTTTATAACAACAGAAAAACAAACCTTCTAAAATCACAAACAGTGTATTCCTTCCCTTTCAACCTTTCACATAATGGAATAGTAGCTGATGCACAATTTTTAGATTTGCATGAGCAGTTTTTAAATTCAACCATAGTGTATAATTTTAAAAGTTACAAAAGAGGTTATCAAGGATAAGTATTAGCCTCCCTATAATTTAGACACTAGCTTGACATAGATTCACACATGGGACATTTACGCCTTTGTTCATGCTAGTTTAGCTGAAATTGCAGTCATCAAATTAATAGTAACACTAGGTTAGGGAGGATCAGACACCACTTGGCCATAAGATAATGTGTATGTGTGGCTTTAAATTTTTTTACCTGTCAAGGGACTGAAGTAGCTAAATACTATTTTCTAGTACAACACATACATTGCCATAAAATACAAAATATAACTTGTGCTTGAGTTGCAAATTGCAAATCCAGGTTTGAAGTTAATTTCATTATGAAAACCACAAATCAGTTTTTTAGAATATTCGATTTACAAACCTATCGTGTTGAATTTAGCTGTGAAAATATAAACAGGGTTTCAATGTGGAGAGGGTGGTGGGCATTTTGTTTTAGCTTCCCATGGAGAATACCTAGTTTAGTCACCTTTTGCTGCAGTAACCAGATTTATACATCTAAAAAGTCAATACTTTTGTAATGTGCAACTGAAATTCTTAGTTAAATCTTAACATTTAGTTGGTCAAAACTGCTCAGTTTGGTTTATCTCTCTTAGAACAATTGTAATACCATTTATCTTAACCATTCTATTGTAGCCCTTCCTGGATGTTTAGAGCAGTTACCCCAACAATATTTTGGAATGTTTAAAGCAGGAATTTTGCCAACAGAATTAAATTTTTTTTTTTTTTTGTTGTTGTTGTAATTTTCACCTAGAGCAAGCAGTTAGTCCTCTTGGATCAATGCCTTTCTTTCCTGTCAGTTGAAGTGGACTGTAAATGTTCAAACGGCAGACGTATTATTGCTGTATCATTGTTAGGTGTCAGAAGCCTGGGATGGCATTTTTTTTTTAGAATAGAATAGAGCAGAACATCCATTTATTGTCCTAAAATGGGGAAATTTTGGTAATTTTATCTTCTAATCTGGCTTTAAACTTTTCCTTAAATGTACAGTTATATTGTGTTAGTTGACTTAAATAACTCTTTTTCTGGCAATTTTATGTCACAAAACTCTAAGCCTTTTATAGAACAGCTGTGCTTGGATACAACGGCACTTCCTACAGTTATACACTATTTACTTACTTCTAAAGAAATTTTCTATACTACTTTTAATTATATTTATTTATTTATCAACATCATCTATAATTTTTCTTTAATCATGTCCCATTGTATCATATAATGTTCCAAAACAATAAAATGAAGTTTAGTCATGATAGAACATATGGAAATTTTAATAGGTATAAGTTCATGATAGTTTCTATTTATTAGCTGTTTCTATTCTAAATAGAACCAGCTAAAGTAACAACATCAAGTTTTAATTGTGACCAACATACATGGAAGAGGGGCCAATCTATAGCTGTATGATTTGCAAGCCACTTAATTGTCATCTTTACAAGTCTCAGTACTGTAGGTCAGCTAATAGCAATCTTCTCTATATAAGTAAGTGCTGTGAGAAAGTGAGTAAAAACACATTTCCAAATCACTTTAAAAAGTTGGAAAAGCAAAAAAGCCCTGGTAGAATTTTTGAAGAAATCCTATTATTTCATTAAAGGTGTAATATATAAACTTTAAACTCACTCAATATGTATCTAGGTATTTGCTAGTATTAAGGATGTCCCAGCCGTTCCTTGTAGGACTCTTTTAAAAAATCCAAAAGAAATAAGTGGTCCCTTGTGTGTCTAAACAGTTACAAAAATTACCCCTTTGGTTTAACTGATTGAAAAATGTAAAAGGATTCAAAAACTCACCTAAAGCCACAAAAGCTTCATTCTAATTCACACCTGCAGAATGTGTGCCCTTAGATTTATAGTAACCAGAGGTGTAAGCATGTAAATAGCTCTGATATTGTTTTGAGATGAGAATCTCTTCCATCCGCTCCAATTAGGGCTCCAGTATTTCCTGCAGCCTCCCTCGCAGAGCTGCATTTACCAGCCATAATGAACTGTCAGCACAGATCACAGCCTCATTTGTACAGACCCAATACCCCGCTTTTCTTCCTTTGTATGTTCCCTGTTTGCCTCTCACATGGCCAGAGGGAATGGGTGAATACCCTTGAATTGTCAAAAGCAAACAGTGTGGTCGCGGATCTGAATATACATTTGAAAATGTCTGTGATGTGTTCTAAAGCTTAAGCTTTGTGGGCAATTTATAAAATGGGAGAAAGAGATTAAAGCATTTTACATAAACAAATGTTCTGCTTTTGTTTTCCTTAATGGTTGGTAGGTTCTAGTATGATATATTTTTGTTTTATTTCTATAATATTCACTTATTTATTAATATATAATACCAATACTATAAAGTATTAAAAAAATGAAAGAAAATGTAAAGTTGTTAGTTATAATGTAAGTTAGCTGCAAACTCTTCAATTTAAACCTTTACTAATGTATAGTAGAATAAAAAGGTGCATGATGTACCTCTTTAAATGACACTTCATGAATGGTTTATATCTGAAAAACTTGTAATCTGTAAGAACTTCTGACAGCTCCAAGACAGCTGTGCTGATGAGGTGTTTCTCCCTCAAAAATGTATTTTCCTCTTCCAACCAAATTTAGAGCATCAACTAACATATGTCCAGACTTTCCAATGCTCTGAACCCAACATGTCAAGGCTTTCCTAGACTGTTAAAGTTGTAGCAGTCAGATTACTCCTTGTTCTTTTATCGATGCAATGTCTTGCCTGCATGCCTGTCTTTCACCTACACTCATAATTGTGAAATTTTCTCATAAGGCTTCCAGGTATGTCGAGACCCTTCGCCTAATATCAGTTTTACAGATTTATTCGCTCTATCCTGAGAGAGCAATTTAAAACCCTTGCCAAGCTTAACTCTTCCTATTCAGACCTGTCAAATTCTTTCCTCATAACATTTCTGTTCTGTATTTAGGAAGCCTTCACTACCCAAAACCCCCGAAACTCCATTTTAGACCTAAATTTAGGCATGAGCAACCAACAAAATAACAAGAAGTCCATTATTACCCAACCCATGTGTGTCTGATTCGCACATTGACACTTGCAAAGGTTAGCTGCACAATGTATTTTGCATACAAGTGTCCCATCCATAACCTGTCAGGGAGTGCTTAAATGGATTTATTCACCCTTCTAAACACTAAAACTTGCTGCACAGTAAAATTAATGACCACATTATTGATTCAGAGCACACGATAGGATTTTACACATCAAGAGTCTGCTGAAATTTTAGGCTTCATTTTAAATGTCAAATGCATGTGGAGTTGTGTTTCTTTGCTGAATCCACATAAACCTTTACATTTTCCCCTCAACTTAGAACTGTTTAGGAGCATGTGTAATGAAACTTTAAAATTTGGTATAAATGTTTACCATATATGGAAAATGAAACTAATAGAATGAAGTTGATGTGTTAGAAATGTGGTAATTCCAAGCAGCAGAGGTTGAATTTTATGCCCCAGGTTTCAACAGTGTACTTCACTTTGTCGTGTTGTCTTGTAAATGTCAAGCTGACGTTGATTTATGGTGTGAGAGTGACGTCTGCAGTCTCATGAGCCAGGCCCTGATTGTATCATTAAATAAATAGGACTTGGATTGTTTGTGCATCTTTGTGTGTGTGTGTCTACTTGTGGAGGGGTTGTGGAGAGGGAGAGAGTGTGTGCTAGTGCCACTAAGCAAGGTGGTAAAAGACTGAGAGAATGAGACATGGCGCAGGTGTAAGTTTGATAGGCTTAAGTGTTTATACCACCCTGGGATCAATCTGACTGTTTTTCAGTCTTGTTCCTTTTTCAAACCAAATTTGTTATTTACTCGCCTAGTAAAATGGCTTGATTTTATGATGTATGGAATAAAAATGATATTAGGATCTTAAATTTAGTATAATTTTGATAATTTGTTAAATGTCCTTTTTTCTTTTGTGATTAAGTGGTCTAATTTTATGTATTGATTTCAAGCACTGCATATCCATTACTTTTTACCTTCTGCTAGTATAGGAAAATAAAAAATATCTGTTTTCTAAAGTAGGTTTGAATAAGACATATTCCAAAACCAAAGTTATTACATATAATTTAATATAATACAGTAGGGAACTTTCCTACAAGAGGCCAACATACATAAATTACTAGAAGGTCATAACCAGAAGAAAATAATGTAATGAACGCTTGTTTTTACAGAGACAGAGTTGTGCGTTTAAACCGACAACCTTCTGATCAAAGGCAAAACTCTTGAAATTCATCTTTATTTGTGTCTGAATAGCAAAATTTCACCAAAGTTTAGAAGGCAAAACTCCTTTTTCAGCAATTTGCTTAATAAAGGTTGTCTTTTGACATAATAGTTTAAGGTGGAAGTTACATTTACACAAAGACTCAGTTTTTCTCTAAGTAACTAATTATTTGTAAAGCTTATATACTACTTATTTACAGTAACAGTCACTGTGCATAAAATATTTGATATTCACAACCATAAATTATTCATTTATTTTGAAAAAGCCTTAAACAAATATTAGGCCAAAGTAAAAAGTGTTGGTAAAACACAAAACCCACCAAATGATTCAGTCTCTACTAGATTATTTTTTATTTTCTATATAAATGTAATGGGCTTTCATGTAAAACAAATGTTAGCCTACTTTTCTTTACATACAATTACTTCATTTTTTTAAGGTTTGCATTAAAATTGAGCTTTTTATATCTCCTCCAACATAAGTTTACTCTGTTGGAGGTACAGACCTTTCACTGGAGCCTTACAATATCTTCATTCTTTTTTGTTTTCAACTGGTCTAAATTCACTGCTGTATGACTTCAAGTTAATGTGGAGGATCTTCCTTTTCCGGTTGGATCGGCGAAATAAGTGGTCCTCCTAATTGTCAATAATTCTAATGATATGTTTACATAAGACCATGCGACGTGCTCGTCCCCATGTTCACTGTAGTGAGTCTGACATAGAAAAATCCCAACTCTTTTCGAAAAGTAAGCTTGTAAGAGCGATGCAAACAGCAACTTTCAAACAGAGCGTGCACAAGGAGAAATGGACTCTTGCAGACTTTCACATGCGTTTAATAGGCATTTAATAGGCATTCCTGCAAACTAACCACAATTTTTACAGCAAAAATAGTGCTGTGAATTATTGTAAAACATCTCATCATAAAAACATTTATAATAATTTTCCCAAAGGATACTGTTGAGTAAGTTTTACCAATGATTGCTTCTCTAAAGCCTCAGTTGATATTTTGCTATTTTTTTGGTATCTCATTAGCACACACCTGCACTCTCCAAAACAGCAACTTGCCAAAACTCTTACTCACAAAGAGGCCTTCTCATTTGTGGATCAACTAATCAAGCAAATGTAATTTGAAGTACTAGAGAGCTACATGTGCCATAGAAATTCTAAGAGAAACATCCTTACTGTATTTCTTCCAGTGGTGCATTTCTGGTGTGGTTTGATTTTTGTTAAATAAATAATAATAGAGTAAAATTAGTTTTGTTCATTTACATCTAAAATTGGATTTAAACAACCCTTTGAAGTGGTAGAGAGTAGACCCCTGTTATTATAAGATCAATTAGAGATGCACGGAGGTGCACTGCAGCATTATGAAGAGGTAACAATGTTTTTAACCTTTCCAACTGTTTACAACCTATTTTCTTTAAGTTGCTGTTCCTTTTACAGTTGTTTTGGAACATGTTTTTCCAGCGAAATTCAAGCCACAACTAATCAGTGCAGAAACATTTAGAATACAATCAACACACGCAGTGCACAGCAAGAAGTATCTTGTACGATTAAAGAAATAGTGCAAAAAAAGCCCCCAAGGAAACAAAAAAAATTACTAGTTGTTTTAAAATGTACTTTCGAGTAAATTTCAGGGTTCTTTTCACCACAAATAAAACATGTAACTGCTCCATTATTTTCCCTTAATGTTGTTTTTCAAGTGGTGATCCATAATCAGTCATGATTTCTTTTTTTTTTTCTGAGCTGTTATACTCAGTTTGCGATATATACATTTTATTTAACATATACTTATGCTATGGTCCAAAGCTGGCTCACCTTCAACTTATGTTAGTCTCAATTAAGACTTTTCATGAGTCCTTATATAAACCATTCTGATAATCAAAAGTCATGTTATCGCTTCCAAGCATAATAAATGTAACATTTTACAATCTCTGCAGTGCGGCACATTCATGTTGGAGACAGCCTTCAACAGTAAAGAACAAAAGCCTATAAACGCTCGACATGAACATCACGTCTATAATCTCATTCCTGTCTGGACCTCAAGGTGACGGATTTTTAATAAAAAAAGAGTTACTGATATTTTTTAGTGAAGGGTGGCATAGTAATAAAAACTGTTGTGTCAGAAAGGGCATTTGGCAAAAAAACTTGAACAAGATATAACCAAGTATTTGGCAACTTTTTTAGGCTACATAAGGAAGCCAATGAAAGGAGCCCTTGAAAGACTGTATCCAATGGACAACATTGGAGAAACTTACAGTAAAGTCAGTGTATTATTTAACTAGTCAAATGGGAATAAAATATTTATAAGGTATGCAGAGTCTGCATTCTTGGCGTTTTCTTCAGTTACTGCTTTGTTTGTGATGAAAACCTTCTAAATAGTTATGAGAATAAAAAAAATTTGTTAAAGAGGAACATTACTATTTGCTGGTAAATATATAGAACACATTAATCTAAAGAAACACAGAGCATTACTAAGCTCCTCCTTGAAGGAAATAGAAAAAACAAACAACACTGATTGTATACAGTAGACAGAGCACAACATTGCAAAAATCAGAGAGACAATCAACAGACAACAATGTGAAATGTTAATTGTGCTTCAAGACTTTTGCATGTTTTAATTTCATTCAACAAAACAATACTTACCTGCATTAAAACAGTTATTGAATTCATTTTATTTCTACTAATGAAATATTAATTTTTTTGTAAAACTAAATGCCTGTACTATTCAATAATATTTGAATGGCTTTTTTTTGTAATTTCATGGCAGGCAGTCTTGCAATGTGAACATCCCCTAATAATTTAGAGCTGCATGGTTATGTTTGTAGAGGCAACACATAATAAAGGCCTAAAGAAGCATCCATGAATTGTTAGTGTGGCAATATGTTGAGTGTCCAACAGAGAAAAAGATTTGTAAAGTTTACTCATATCTAACCAACAGCTGCCGTGCAATCACATTCAAATTAAATCGAGGAAACTTGTAGTATCTGTCTGAATCCATGTAGGATGTTATTTAAAAAAGGGGAAAAAGCAATAAGATGAACAATATGAACTGAAACTATTTTAAAAAATGGTTGAAAAAGAACTATATACATTATTAATACATAATCCATGCAAATTAAACTTGGTTGGTATGAATAAAAAAAAATGCTAATCATAAAAATGTATGTTGCGTTTGCCACAAGAATGGCATTTCTAGCACATAAGAAGTGAGTAAGATATAGACAAAAATGTGAGAAATGTTTCATCCAGAGTATGTATTAATTTAAATTTGTAACGATGACCTGCTAAAATTTTGTTTGATCCCTTTATCTTAAATTGCCACAAATCAGAAGCTTGTTTTTGCAACAAAAGAATCTCTATGACATAGCTCCAGTGTCAGTTACTGATTATTACTCCCTTTGGCAGGTCCTCCAGACTTGGACTGACAAAGTTTGCTGAAAAAATTGTTGAAAATGCTTTTTTGTGAAAGCACAAAAAAAGGATTTTTGTTCTTCCAACAGTATTACTAAAATATGATCTTTATCTTATTTACCTTAGATCATGTATTGTCATACAAGCGATATGACCAATAACAACTACAGTACTAGCCTGGGAAACTACTGCTCATATTACCTGTAGATTAGTGGTTCCAGTACTCAGTCCAATTAGCACTTGACCCTCCAGGAGCTCTGCGATCTTCGGGTCCTGCACCCTAAGAGATTCCTTGACCAGCAGTGTAACATCCACATGCCAGTCTGTACCCAACAGGAAGTTCTGCTGACCTGGACCGCCGTCCTCCATGGCTCCTCTAAACTCCCCTGCATCGCTAACAAACTGTGTGAGGACATGCAGAGATGTGCTCTGGTACTGGGGTACACAGGAATTTTCTTCTTGTCCATAGGCACCATTGTTGTCATCAGTGACTCTCTCATATCTATATGGAAAAATAAAGAAAGTCGACTTAATTTATTAGTGAAAGAGTAAAACTGATGAGGATTAGAGACCAATAAAATATCTAAAACTGATTGTGGTTTCAAAGCAAAGGCGCAGAAGAGAGGACAGGATTACAATGGTAAGAGAAGCTGAAAATATATTTTTGGAATTAAAGCTGACCATGTCTAACAGTTTTACTGTGAGCTTCAATATCTTGTTTTTTTCTTTTTTTTCCTTGCTGTCTGGCTTTCCAAAAGCCACTCAGCCAGAGTAAAAAAAAAAAAGAAGAAAAAAGTCTATTAAAATCAACTCGCAGAGGAAAACTGCTGCCATGCTGGCTTTCTCATTTTATTTAAAAGGGCAACTGATATTTCTCAGAATGTTTGCTATTTATTTGGCCCTCGGCAAATCCTTTGCAGATGCAGCCATCTCAGGAAATGTGTTTCTTTATAAATGAAAATTACTCTCCTGAAAATGTTTTTAAACCTGCAGATGATCTTCTGCACAAAAGTACATATTTATTCTAAAGTAGATCAAATTATCTCTCATCGCAATAAGAAATACTCATTAGGTTGCCCCAGGTAGGAAAGGATTTAAGATTGGAAAAAGAAATGCTGCACATGGCCTTAAATTTGTGTAGTTAAGCATATTGTATTATGTTAGAGATGTTGACAACAAGCCAGGCAAATAAACTGCTGTGAATATTTATATGTGGATGAATATGCTGGATATGCTTTGTTATAAGTGTTTTAGACAAACAAAAAGATTAGAATTTTAGAAATAGTTAAGAGTGCATAATACATTATTTAAAATAGAATAAAAAATCTCTTTACTGTCCCACAATGGGGATATTTTGGTGTTTACAGCAGCAAAAAGATTATATAAGAATAACATACTAGTAAAGGCATGGTAATTTTATTTATTAAATTAGCAAGTGATCAAAGCCAATATACACTCATCAATGTGAAAAATCAATTACACCACTTGTTTAATTATTTATTGTAATTAACCCTGATCAATCTTTAACTGAACAGACTGGATTACTGACTGAGCTGTAGATTCAAGAAAATCAATTAAATATCAGTTTTCTGACAACGTAAAGTAGGCTTAAAGGTCTCTAAAGCATTCATAGTGCCTCAGCATGTATAAAAAAAAAAAAAACACAGATGAGAAAATAAGTCATTGACAATTTTCAGCCAGGAAAGAGGAGGCAAAGTCATTACTAAGCCATTTCTGATGTTAATGGATTCCAGTAATCTAGAGTATGAGCCATTATCATCAGACAAAACACAGAGGAGTTCTAAACCATTTTAGGAGGACTAACCCTCAAAAATTACTCCAAAAGCAGTTGGATGATTGATCTAGGAGGTTAAAGAACAACTAAGTGAATTCTGTTTTCTACACGCATCGAATCATGAGGAGGAATGTTTGGCCATCTGTTTCTGAGGTCAAACATTCTTATTAATCACCAACAAGGCCACCTCTAAATGGTTTAGAGAATTATATGTGATTGTGGTGGAGTTTGGTCAAAATCTGGACCTAAATCTAATTAATATGGTGTTTCATGACCTTAAACCCTTTTTTAGGAAGTAATACTTGTCACACATGACCAGGTTGTTTGAGAATGAAAATTTCCTATCTTTATCGAACACTAAAATGTCTTCGATGGTGTGAAACATTTAACTGTTACAAAAAAAAAAAAAAAAAAGTTAGAAGTCTTTAAGGGGTCAATTACTTTACAAAAATGTAGATTTCCCACACTTGTCTTCTGGTCTTCTAACATCCAACTCTATCTGTGATGAAAATCTCGTGTATTGTTTTCATCACTGTCAATGTCATTGGTTTCTCACTTTTGTAGCATGACTCTCAGCTTCCTCCCATAATTTGCTTAATTTTCTATTTTCTCCTTTTTTTTTAGTTTCTATCCTAGACCTTTAAATCTCAATGCTTGAGGCTTTACTTGCTTCCATGCTGGTCAGGTGGCCAGGGAGAATGACCGTGACAGTTTCCATTAGGTTTAATGGGGCATGGCTTGTCAGGCAGAAAACGTGCTGACAGGTTAACATGTTGTGGCCCAGTGGCTTGGCTTACTTCCTAACCTGTCTTTACCATACACCCTCCCCCTTTCCTTCCTTCACATGAGTTAAGGGGACAGCAGTCAACTCAGAGGTGACATTAGTGGCTTGCAGCAGAAACATGGGGGTCAAGGTCTGTTTTTAGCAGTGACAGACAAGTCAGCCAAGGAATCAGACTATAATTAGGGGGCCTGTTTATCTTATGGGGTACTGGGTGAGCTTTTTCTTTGCTTGGTTAAACATGCACACAGACAACAAGTTGGCACTTTTGTTTTTAGTCTCTTTTTTTTAACTACTATCTAAATATTCTGCAAATTAAAAATGCATTCTCTTAATAAAACTCTGTACATGACTCACAAATTCGGTCCTTTATGTACCGTAACTGTTAGGCCTGAAAAATTTAACTATGTCTTTGAATGTTTTCATCTAGAGATGTCATTGAAATTCTTGTTTAATTAAAACAATGCTGTAGGTTTGGTGGTATTTAGGTTTTGTTCAGATGGTATAAAATATGCTTAGCTTGCTTAAAAGGCAATCAATGAGAAAAGACTGCATTACCAAAATGGTTACCTTTGGTCTATCATATTTATCCTTACAGACTTTAAAAAGCATTTGAATCTAACTTGCAATCTCTTAAAACTCAACCAATAACGATGTTGTTATTTATCAAAGACAAAAAAAGAATAAATGGGAAAAAAGAAAATACATTTTATAATCCAGAAGCATGAATACACTCCTTTTGCAGCAACAGCTTGAAATTCTTGCGCTGTGTAAATGTAAATCTCTCATTAAGCCGGCTCCCCTTTACAAAACTGTTTTTCTTCATTATATTGCCTAAAAAACCTTCATATACAGCTCTCTTGATCTCTGGTTGGGATCTGGAGTGTGACTTTGCAGACATCTCAGAAGATACAGGTTGGAACAGAATTCATCAACTAAAAAAGTGTTTTCACCCAGTTTACCTCTATGTTTTATGTACATCAAATTCAATCTTAACACATTCCCTTCACTTGACATTTTCTATCAGAAGTCAAGTCGCATTTGGCCATCTTCAATATCTGCTTTACAGTAAAACATCCTTAATATATTTAAGGTGTTTCATAAGTTTCATTCAAAAATAACCTTTCCAACCTAAGAAATGTACGTAATGCTCTTTCAGTAGAGAAGTGGCTTTCTCCCTCGCAAACCTCCTATGCCCCATTATGAACTTTAACATTTCACATGCTAAGGGAGGCTTGCAGGGTGTAAAATGTTGCTCTTGGGTTTTGTGCCATCTCTGACAGCACTGTATATTTTGACACTGACTTGATTTGATGTCTTTTCCTGAAAAAAAATTTCAATTTACTTTTTTATATCCTTTCTTACAATATGATCAAAGACTTACGTAGGATTCTCAAATGTACTTACTGGTGTACAAACTTTTGAGGCAATCACTGCAAACAAATAATTCCTGTAACTGTCCCACTCCTATAATTTGGCCCACTCCTCATAAACAAACTGCTCCTTTTGTCTAAGATTTGAAAGCTCTCTTTACCAGATGGCATGTTTGAACTCCTTGCAAAAATGTTTAACAGGATTTAGGTCAGGGCTCATAAAATGCCATTTCAGAAAGTCCAATGTTTTCCTCTTAGCCATTCTTGGGTGTTTTCAGATGTATGATTTGGGTCATTATCCTGTTGCAGGACCCATGACCTGCAACATTTCTGACACTGGGCAGCCCATTTCTCTCTAGGAATCCTTGACAGTCTAGAGATTTAATTCTACCCTGCATAGATTCAGGACACCCTGAGCCATATGAAAAAAAGCTGCCCCAAAACATAACAGAGCCTGTGAACATAGATTTTTGATGCTCTCTGAACATAGAGCCTATGTGCCTGACAAAACTTTCCCTTTGTCTCATCTGTCCATAGAAGATGCTCTCAGAAACTTTGTGGCTTGTCAACATGTAGTTTGGCAAATCCTAGTCTGGCTTTTAGAAATAATTGTTCCCCAAATTGTTCCCATTGCACGTGTTGCTGTTCATGTGTTTACTGTTCATTAGTTGATTTAAGACAATTTGTGAATAAATATAAAAGTTATTGCATTTCATATGGTGTTAACGTAAATGTAAATGCATTTTAACTTACAGTAAAACCATATGAAATACAATAACTTGTATATTTATTCACAAATTGTCTTAAATCAACTAATGAACAGTAAACACATGAACAGCAACACGTATAAATAGTGTCCTCCGATTAAGTCCAGTTTTGCTCAAACAACAACAGATAGGGCAATCTGATGTCTAGGTTGGATTAATAGCTTTGGAATTTTTCTGGGCTCTTTGATTCCCATTCATATTAACCATCTATCTCTTTGTTTGTCTTCAGTTTTCCTCCTGCTGCTACATTCAGGGAGGTTGGCTACAGTGCCATGGATCTTATGAATAAGATGTTCAACCCATGTTGAAGGAACATTAACATACTAGTCTATAATGTTAATTCTAATTTCCTGAGACAGCTTCTTCCTTTGCTTCCTCTGGTCCATGTTGAGTGTGGTACATACCATGTCACCAAACAGCACAGTTACAACCAGAGCTGGCTGATTAAAGATTTTATTGTTAATTAGTGAACGACCCTTGATTTAACATGTCACTTTAGTAACATAATTTTCAGGTTTTTAAAGGGGTGCAATCAGTTTTGTCCATGCCTGTTTCAATTGTTTTATTTCTATTGGGATAAATATTTTGAAGGGGTTAAAAAATCAACGTATAACTTTTACTTGTTTATTATCATAGAATTTCAATTTAGAATTGCTTTTGGCAAATTCAAAGTTATTTTTCAGTGAGCATTGTGTTTTTTTTCTTTTTTCCACCGAGGGGTACCAACAATTTTGACCAAGTGTAATATTTTCTTCAAACAAAAACAGCACTTGGCTGGCAACAACTTTACTTTAGTCTCATATTTTAATGCATAGCTATATCATATGATCTGTTGTACCTTTGAAAAAATGGTTAGACTTTTTTAGTGCAAGAAGGGAATGTGCACAAAGGTAAGATAAGGTCTCTTGTGTGGCAATTCTTTACAACTTTTTCTTATCTTTTTTTGTGTTTCAGTGTTTAGAAAACAGAGAGGTCAGTGGCCACCAAAAAAGAAAAAAAAATGTCTTACCTCCTGCTGCCAACACTAACGGGGATTCTCCAGCCCTTAATCTGACTGAGTTCAGTGTCAGCTACATCTATCAACAATGGTAGGCGGGGGATCCATACACTCATCTCCAGCTGTGCGCTCAAAAAACTGTAGGTGAAGTTGAGCATCACCCTTTTCTTCCCTCTTGTCTCTTTTCCATTGACGTACACATAATCACAGCGCTCGGATACCTGATGACAGAGAAAATACCACAAAAAAACAAATATGCTTAGTAATAGTAAATATAATATAATATAATAAAATATACTATATTCTAAACAAGTTATTTTTGAATACTACTTAAAATATTTTGCCATTTTGGGCATATTAATAAAGTTTATTTTTATTCATTGGAAGAGAATAAAAAAATGCTTTCTTTCTATGTCTTTTTGTATGTTAATTTTTGGACTTTGGTGGGAGAAAAAACTTGACAGGGCCTCAAATTTAGGTTATTTTCTGAATAAACCTAAATCAATTTATGTATTTTTCAAACTCCAGTATTTACATCAGATTAATTGCTACTGAAAATGTTAGTTTATAGATTTACACTTACAGTATAGGTCTTAGTCACACTGATGTTTTCCTAAGTTACTTTCTAAGATTTTTTTAATGCGGTTAGATTTTTGTCCTACCCACGTATTCATCATATAGAAAAAATCAAAGAGATTAATTTGCAGATGCCTTAAATGTAATAGCCCACAATAACACAGAGCAAATTTAGGTTAGCCATCTATATGCAAGTCAGTCCAAAACCTGTTACAAGACATAAAAGCAAAGACAGAAAATAATAAACAAACTTATTTTTTTAAACAATTAATAATAAAATAATATAAATCAAAGTCTGCTTTAGTCTATCAACAATAATCAGACAATCACTTGATTAGTCTTCTAAATATATATTTTTTGGACCTGAAGTAGGGAACATGTTTTTTTAAGACCTGATTTATAGAAGCCAATAGTATCTGCATATGCTGTGTCAGGTTTTAGGGGAGTATATTTAGAGCTGAGACCATAAAGCTAAATTAACGTTCCCTTTGTTTTCTGGTAAAATTGGCCAGAAATGGAGCCCAGGCGGAAGTTCAACTGAAGAAACATCCACTTACAACACAGCCAATCAGCTTCGAACCACACCTCCACGAAAGCAAGCGGCATCCAAAGTTCATCTTAAAGGCCTCCGATACGCACCTGTCTGCTCCTGTGCGCAGGCGGTGGATGCGAAGTGACTTTATTCAGATGATGCTGTTTCAACCCACCTCCAGCCCGTCCTCCACCATCCTAGCTAAAGATTCATAACAGTGTAATTCCTCCCGGACGCTTACTGAGTTCCCTGTCTCTGAGTACCACTCCGGCAGAAGACCGCCATGTTGAGCCTGGTTCTGCCAGAGGTTATTCCCAACGGGGAGTTTTTCCTCTCCACTGTTGCTTCATGCTTGCTCATCATGGACAGGTTCTCTCAACCTGTGTTATCCAAACTGGACTTTCATCTTCCAGGTCCCTGAGTAAGCCTCTAGAATCAGCTCACGCAGTCCTCTGGATCTCCCCATAAAGCTCAGCATAACGTCTCGCTAACCAGCAGTCTACAGACTGACCAACTTCATCTACGTCCACACCACCACCAGTTTCAGGCCTGGGGGGGAACAGCCCTATTCTTTGCTCCTGTTCATGCATATCTATCAAAATTAGGTGCTATGCTTCCTGCTGAGGTCTAAGCGCTAAAGACAAAGTAATTGTATCAATACATTTTTCCTAATTGTCTTTTCTCTTTGTGTGAGTTTTTCAGATTTAAATAACAAATAACCTGTTAGGTTTACATGGCTTCTTTGACAAGAAACCTGGGAATACGTTTTTGCCCAAAACATTTTGGGGCTTCATACACCAGGAGTAAAATATTAAAATATAACCATTATCTAAAGTGAGGTAAGAACCAAGGGGGATACCAAAGCCATAATCTTATCTCACAAAAATAAGAGCAACTTTTTATTTGTTGGTTTCCTTAACCCTAATTTATTTAGAAGAGCATCCATTCACTTTTTCGGAACAAAGACTCCTCTCTTTGATATTACGGAAACATGGACTGGGGAACTTGATTGGGCTTTAAATACATAATCTTAGAAAAAAGACCACAAAAGCCCAAAATAACAGACAGATTGTTCTTCCCCTCAGTAAAAATCACTATTAGCTAGTGAGTTCTAAATAATGGCCTATATTAAAACATCCCAAAGAAGGCATCTCATTATTGTTCAAAGCAGAACACCTTTTCAAGTCCTCTGCAACCTTAATGTTAAAAAATAAATAAATAAATAAAAAATAAAACTGTTGGTATTGGTTAGAGACAGATTTCCAAACTCAATGTTCTCGAGAGCAATGTATACATAGAGCATAACACTCGTGGAAAGATCACTCAACTGCAGTGGTCCCTATGCAAAATGAAGTACAAAAAGAAATGGGATAATTAAACTGGTTTAACCATTTACCTGCAGAACTATGGCACAGTCCAAATAAATAATGGAAGAATAAAATTTGTTGTTCAGATGCTGTTTAAATTCTACTTCACATTACTTTTCGAGGGGAAGTTATTAGTTATAGTGAATATGGTGCAGGGATTTGTTCTGCATATGTTACTGGTAGATGTGATATATTTCACTTAAGGATAAATAAAGAAAATATCAGAAATGCTTTGCATGCTAATCACATAACAAACAATATTGTTAATTGACTCCAGAAATAGAAAACAAAGATTTCTTGCATGTGTGCATTACCAAGGCTGTTACCAACATTTGCTTGTAATCTGGAGTGAGTAATTTTAAGCATATTTATTGAGTGACTGAGCAATTATTAATTTCTGAAGTACTTTAAGAATGAATCTGGGTGCATCTGTAAATCAGGCATATGTGTATGTGCAAAGCATCCTAACATTGGGAAGTAGAGGGACTTTGGTCCAACTAGACAGATGGAGCTCTGCAAAGACACCAACCTGTTTTATCCAACTAGAGAACAAAATTCTCTGAACTGCATAATAGCCAGCTGGATGAAGCATAAGTCCAATCAGTTATCAAAGTTTTTTAGAAGAAGTTCCAACACAGAGAATTGTATGTTCAGGACATCTGAAGTACTGGCAGTATGTTGATATTACAAAAATGTTTTCTAAAACATTCTTATTATGTTCCTTTAAGGATTGTTTGACATGTTTTTTGTTTTTTTTTTTGTAAATTTTTTTGTGTCATCGCTTTCATTTTAAACTCCAAAAACCTCAAAAACTTGATTGGCGCAACTGTTAATTTCAGCACAAGCCCTCAGTGGTGACAATCGTCTCTTTCTAACAAACAAGTCAAAGGAAAGCTGTCATTCGTCTCCACGTCTTTGCATGTGAGTTGGCAGCTTTAGCTCTCAAATGGTGCAAGATCACCCTGTCTCTCTGCAGAGCAAAACTGACAGCTCTGTGTCACTCAGCTTCTCCTCCTCCTCACTTTCATTAAATTTTTCCTCATTGTCTCCCACTCATCGACTTTTACCCTCAGTCAAATTCACTATTATTCACATCTCACACTTTTTTTTTAACAGCATTTCTGCAATTAGAACAGTTTACTCAGAGTGAAAGCTAAGGGAATATTTTAAAATTCATAAAAATGTTTTATTAAAGAAAAGATGGCTCAAGGAAAAGAAGTAAACAGCATAATCTAGATGTTTATAACCAGGTCTTTCCTGATTTTGGGAAAACTAAGCCCCATAAGTGATGTTATTAACATGTGGGCAGCAATTATTATTATTATTTTTTTAATACTGTCACTATGACGAAAAGTGTTGAATCCTCTCTTTATATTTTCATTTAAATAAGCTAATGTAGACTTTAATTATCTGTCATTTTTTCTGAGTAGTGTAAATTTAGTAGCTCCATAATTGACATGAAACTATTAGATCTTAAAATTAGATTATATCAATATATTCCTTGGTTATCTTTCTTATATAAATCCAAGGTATACTGTATTCAATTGTCTGACAGAAAGTCTGACAGGAGCAAGCCAAATTAAATGAATGTAGGTAAGACATTTTTATATACAAAGAGCCTCAGGTCTTTAATGTAGATTAATTTATGCGTTTGAGACACTGCACAGAATAGTTTGTTCTAATGTCTATAGTTATTTCAAGCCACGCTTCTCTACTTTCATTCTCATTAGCATTTATACAGCAAGACAGCCCGTCATTCTAGAACCTCCACAACAAAAGTCTCCGCACTGGATTAAAAAAGTTCAATAGGTTAATGCAAAATACAATTTAGCTGCCAATAAATATTTTTCATGATTTACTGATTGCTACCGGCTTAAATGCATGACAGGACTTTAGTTCAGTTTTTGTAAGTATGTTTGAGCAAAAGGTAAGGTTTTTAAATTATAAAGGTTTTTAGGTTGGAAGTTAGTAATTTTAAATAAAAAATACTACCTTTGATCTAAAAGTTTTATGTAATTACAACCAATTCTCTACTGTTTTTCTCTGTTTTTTTTAATCCCTGAAAAAAAGTCCTTAAATATTTTTTTAGCCGTCTGCAGAAAATTCATTTACTTCAGGAATTTTCCCCTCATTTACAAAGCAGTTATGGTTCATGGATTAAGCATCTTTTATGTCTAGTATAACGAAAAAATACATGACAAGAAAATAAAAATGATGTCTGACTTAACCTTTCCTTGGGTTACGTTGCAAACTGTATCTAAAAGCATTTAGAACGTCCATGGAAGCAATGCGCTTTATAAAACAACATCTGTTGGATTATTACAATAAATATCGACTATCTAAAAATAGAATTGAAAGAAGAATGATAATGAACAATACTTTCAAAGGTAGGACAAACTGTAGATATGTAAGCATATGTCCTTTTGAAATGTGTGTAAATGTTAGTAAACTTCAACCACCTTCTTTTGTGTATGTGCTTATGTTTTCATAAGTTGGTATCTTTTAAAAGAAGTGCCTCCAAAAATAGGAAAAAGGAAATTTGTAAAGCTTAAATGGGTAAGTCAAGGAAATGTAGTTTTGAAAAGACGAAAAAATCAGAAAACATTTCTGGGATCGACTCAAAAAAAGTTATTGTTAATCTTTTTTAAATTTCAGATATCTGTACAATGCTTTTTCAAAGTACTTTAGTCCACTAATAATACACAGACCTGTTTTTGGCTGAATAAAACAGGACTTATATTACATGCCAGTAATTTGAGCAAAGAAACATCTAAAGAGTGAGCTAAAAATTATTCATTCTGGTCGGGAAAAATATATTAGTCTCAGGGATAAAAAGTGTGTAAATTTTAGAATCCCTTGATGATATTTTTTTTTTTAAATATAGGCTGCTGCTTAATGTTCCCAAAAACAAATGTGTGAGCACTTGGAGCACCAAGTCCCTGACCCTCAAGGTCAGCATCACAATGTGTGGTACCGTTTCAGCGGATAATGAAACCCTGTGAGAGATGCACACTGTCGCTTCTCTTCTCTTTGATCATCTATACTACATATGTATTGCTACGTGTACATATTTTTGTTTTAAGAAGCCAGACAATGTAGTTATCTTTCACATTGCTACTGAGAAAAAGTATTTTTAGTTTATTTACAATTTTTATTAGGATCTATTTTAATGTTCTGTTTAATAACTTTTACTTAGTTTCACTCATATTAAGTTTGGTACTTGAGAGGAATATTTTGAAAGCTGTTGGTGATTACAGGAAAACCAATAAAAGCATCTAGTTGACTCTTTTCTACTCAGTTGTATGAAATAAAATGCTAATTATTAAATTTTTTTTTATCAGCAATTATGCAACTATTTTTTAGGAGCCATATTTTTTTTTTCTCAGTTTAATGTTATAAACCTATATGTGCGACAGTGTGAAAAGGCAGATTGGGTTTTTAAAAAATTATGCAAGATCCCCCAAGAAATGCCAGCATACACTATAAAAAGTAGTTTTTAAAACACATTCACATTAAGTGTATTTTACAAGCTGCATTGTTTTTAAAGATTACCTCAGAGGTTGACATAACATACAACTTGAACAATCTTATACGGTACTAGTAAATATACAGTACAAAGTAAAAATAACTCATTAGAATGTATATCTTCTTCAAATGTTTTTGAAGATGTACTAAAATTATAACTATGTTTTAAAAAATTAAGCTGAAAAATATGACTCTTTTAGAGCTTGATTAGCCATTCATTCATTCATTCATTCATCAGACTAAGCAAAGACTGAAACATGCAACTATTCACAGTAGTCACATTTACCTGTACAAGTACATGGAAGTAAAGGAAAATAGTTAACTATGATGTCAGATAACATTAGACTTTTTCACGTTATGCTAAGTCTCTTATTTGCCTACTGGTCCTTGTGGAGATAGTGCTTTCGAGTGCATTGTAAGCCAGAAACAAACACAGAGGTATAGTTCTATATTTAAGGTTATTTGAATTTACATGGTGGCTTCATGTCAGTGAATATGGATGCTAGAAAAAAAACATTATGTTTTGTCAAGCAAGCTGTTTGAAAATATAAATATTATTTAAAACATCTTTAAACTGGACTAATTAATTAAAAGCTGCTGTCAGCTGATACCAATGTGCTGAGACAACTCATTCAACAATAAAAGCATCGGAAAAATGTGATATATAATAAAGAACGAATTATACATTTTTTTTCATTATTCGTTTTTAAGTTAAGCTACAGCTGCATTTTCTTTCAAGTTTCTGGGCTGAAGTTAAAAAAAGACAAGAATATTATAGTCTACAGTATAGTCTGTAATTATGCAATACTGTTTTTTACCTTCCAGTTCAAATTCTGTATATAATCAAAAAACAGTGATGGTGCTACAATCAGGTCTTTGCTGTTTTGGACGCCAGTTCTTTTCCGTCTGTCATTTAAAAACTTGTCACCTTTACAAAAAAAAGCAGTACAACAACGAGCCACTTTTTGAAATATGTTATTTCCGTGTGTGTTGTTTTTTTTTTTCGCAATCATTGTGTATGAGTTAAAATACTACATCTGTCAAATTGGGTAAAACTTGGGCAAATCTTTTCTAATGATTCCAAAAAAGTGTTCTTAGGATAGCCTTAAGAAACTCTACTAACAGTGTAACGGTTAAACCTGGAACATTACAACCCACTAACCTTGATAACCTGTTCATCTGTTGATTTGCACTCCACTGATTCTGTAACATCTGAAACGGCTCCATCTGTTCCCACGGTAACCACCTTAACAGGAACAGCAACTGTTCGCCCATTGAGGATAGCCGTGTTCAGGATTTCAGTGTCCTGGAGAGAAACACAACAGGAAACATTGTTACGCATTAGACATGTTTCCATAAGCCGGTTTTAGCTAAATAAATCAGGCTGTGTAGACCCTAAGAGGGTGGCTATTCAAGCCACAGAATAATAGAAGTGACAAGCAGAAAAAAAACTCATGATTTTTTTTTTATTTCAGCGCACTTTCATGTCAACTTGCATTACATACATGTATACTTTTTCTCTTCAAGTTAACCTATTATATAAGAATTAGTCCCCTGTTTGACAACATTCACACAAACACAAACAGTATAGAAAAGTGTTACATAATCCTGGTATTGTTATTTCTGTGGTTAAAAGCTTATTTTCTGATATTCTAGAGAAAGTACCAAAGTCAAAACAGATGCAGCTTTTTGGATACACTGTATAAATTAAGGCAACACTATTTAAAAACTATAGTTAGCAAGTAAAAAGTATAAATGTAAATAATCAGTCAGCTAATGTTCAAGACTCAAATAGTTACTCCATAAACAGAATAATGCTTAAAATCTATAGCTCAATAAAGGTGAAAAAGGAAGCTTAAAATCTTTTTTTTAAATCTATCACTATCTATCACTAAACTGGATGGTGTTTACTTTAGTCTTTCACTTTAGTCTTTGAATCGTGAGTTAAATAGCAATTTATTGTTAAAGATAACATTAATAAAATAAGCGTTATCAGCAGGTTACATGGTGTTAGCCAAGCTGGTTTTCTGTTGTAAAATTTCACCAGCATCAGCTCACTAAAGCAGCTTCTATTATCACTGTTATTAAACTTTAAAATTAGAATATATGTTTTACATACTTTTTCAATTTTCAGATGCAGTAAATACTCAAAGTAACCTAGAAAGCCAGTCTGATAATGTGTAACAAAACAGAGATAGCAGCGTCTATTATATTTGTCTTTGGGCTTGTCAGCTCTTGCTTTATGTCATGCCTTAAATCATAATACTGTGCGTTTTTGTTTGGACTCAAACAATTTAAGCTGAAGCAGCATTTAATGGCTTCTTATTTGTTTAAACTCACAAATATTGCGAGAATTCAGTTTGCAGCCAACATTCTACATTCAAAATTGCAAGTATGGCTTTTTCAATTACTTATTTTGGTATAATCAATATACCTAATGTCAGAATAAAACACATTTCACTGCCATTTCCCTCCAAACCTTTCAATATAATGTTTAAAGATTTTGAAAACTGGAGAAAAAAAAAATGCACTCAAGTTTAAGGAAAAAGATGCACTTGACTAAAAGAGAATTTTTTGTCCAGTATATAAAGTCAAAGACTAGACAATGTGGAAAAAGCTGGAAGTTCTAGCCACAGGACTTTGCCCTTAAATTCAAAGACATCCCTTAAATGCTACGTATTTGAAGGTCCCATCTTCTGCAATTATAGACAATAGTCACTATCTGAGACCCTTCATGTGAAGAGCCCCTTTGAAACATGCTCAAGTCTCTGAGAAAATGGCAGGTAGTTGTCAGTGGTAATGTTTATTTTCACAGAGATGGCATAAAGCAAAAAGGGTGTGTTTACTCCCCGCTTAAAGGTCTTCGCCACCAAGTAAAGATTATTTTTCTTCCCACCAATCGATTGAGAATAAGAAGTGTGAAAAATGGCAACAGCATGTTGTGGAGAGCTTGCTGACAGTACTAGTCTCACAAGCACAACCTAAAAGAAAAACAGTATGGTCAGCTGTTTTATTCACTAATTTAAAAACATCTGTTCACTAAATGCTTGGCCTGAATCTATTTATAAACCAGAAAAAAGAACTAACACATTTAAAACATTTTCATGAAATGAGTGGTAAAGAAAGAAAAAACATGAACATGTTTTATTAGTTTATTCCTATGCACTGGCCTAGTTTGTTGGACAGGATTCAAAATGTTTATGGTGCCTTCAGATCAGAACGCGTTTTGGGAGTCAAAGCATCTGATTTACATGCAAAATCCTACGGGGGACGGCGTCAGGAGGTCCAGTAGCACGTCGGAGCATCAGGAGTGGCGCATCTGAGCATCTGGTGATGGAGAATCCAAGTGTTTGATGCTGGAGTTCAGCAAATTGAACTTTTGACGCTGAATGCCGAAGTGTCAAACCAATCAGAAAAGTTGATGCAGGAGTTTTTTGGGGTTCACAGACACTACATGCAAGCTGTTATCATTTCTGCTGAGCAGTCTGCATATAAAGAATAAATAAATATCAAGGGGTTAAACTCCAAAGGTTTAAAAAAAAGCCGGGAGAATGGATTGTTATGTTGCTATAAAATGCTCTCCAGCTTGTAGCTACGTAACAGAGCAGAAAAACAACCAGAGCGCTGGGCATCTAGAGCAACAAAGCATCAAAGCAACTTGACCAGCGTGTGTGAACTCAGAATTTACCACTTTTAACTTGTTAGCATCTATATAAACTTATATACAGTATCCAATGCATATTTATGAAATTCTCTCTCTCAATTGTTGGGTAACCTGGGAAACGGTTTTATCCTATGAAAGCAAAGAGACTCAATTTCTGGACACAATGTTTACTTGTTTTAAAAGCAGTGTCTCTCTCAGCTGAAGAGATTCCCCAGCCATTGCTCACACAAATGTCTTCTAATGTTGCAGTCATACCAAATTCAGAAAGAAGCCATCATCTTCTTATACAGTGCTTTGAAATATCTAATAAGTACGTCATTATTTTGTTTGAAATGTGACTTTTGTCTTTTTTTGTCACCTTAAAACAGTACTAAAATATAAATGTATTATCAACTAAATAATAAAATCATGTTTAAATTTTAGAAATTCTCAAAAACTTTGAAGAAAAAGTGATTCCCTTACATTGATAGTTTGAAGAAATGTATCCAGATGGGGTAATTTGAATGCTTCGCAGACCTTCTGCGGTGATGTCTCAAGTATAAAGAGGAAAAAGCTACACATAACAAATAGAATAAGAATGATATGTTCAACTAAATTGCAGTCATTTAAGAGATATCACCAGATACACTTGAAAGTGAAAGGCCGTACAGAAGAGCAGGAAGAAGATAATGAGATCAATTAAGACAACGGCTGGTAATCCTTGAGCTCCCAGTTCTTTGGCTGTCAGAAGATTTGCTATAACAGTGGATCCTGCACATCATTAGCTCAAAGAAAGACTGTCAAGAGACCTAACTCTTTAAAAGGCAGAGAAGCACTTGTCTTCAGATTTTGCTTTATTCATTTCGAGTGTTGTTTTTCGTTATCAAACTCTTTCTACAGTAAAATAAATGTGATTTAAGATTCACCTGGAAAAGCTTTACAATCAAAGGTAAGCTATTCTTCTTTTTGTTTTGTGGAGTAATATGACAAGTTTTGCGACTGCTTATAACTTCTTCCTTTTTAAACAAAATCTCCAACAGGATATTTAATACTTTAATCAACATAACCCATTCATTTATTTAAACTTTACAGTGTTGAATGTAAATATTTAATAAAATGGATTAACAAAAAGTCTTTGTTAGTGATGTAAAAGACCTACATATACTATATATTGCAAAAGCTTTATCAAAGCTATTTGTTCCAAAGCGATTATAGGTTTAGTGGGTAATTTTCAGAGATGGGAAGTAACGAAGTACAAATACTTCGTTACTGTACTCAAGTAGATTTTTCTGATATTTTTACTTTACTTTACTACTTATTTTTATGGCGACTTTTTACTTCTACTCCTTACATTTTTACACAAATATCTGTACTTTCTGCTCCTTACATTTTAAAAAATTGGCTCGTTACTTTAGTTTTGAATCATTTCAATGGAGTTACCGTTATTATTTTTCACGTCATCAATACCAAATTCAATCTAATTGGATGGAAATCTACGTTGCATTTAACGCACCACTACAAGATGAATCGACAGATTCGGCGGTATTCATTTGCGGCAAATCATTGCAGCTTGGTGGCGGTGGCGTTAGCATAGTAGTATGGACAACGAGATGATTGAAAATGAACACAACGGAGATCTAGACCTATTGGCAGACATCCATTTAAAATGTAGGCAACGGCATGAAAAAAGTGGTTTCTACTTTTACTTTTATACTTTAAGTAAATTTACAAGCCTGTACTTTGTTACTTTTACTTGAGTAAAGAAGTTTAATCAGTACTTCCACTTTTACCAGAGTATTTTTTAACACAAGTATCTGTACTTTTACTCAAGTACGGAAAGTGAGTACTTTTGCCATCTCTGGTAATTTTATTCTTTAGTTTGCTCAATTAAAAGAAGGACGGTTTTGGTTCAGACCCATTCTTCCTTTAATGAATAAATACAATTACACCCAATAAATAATGTTTCTTATTCAGTTTGGCTATATTTGACTATCGGTTAGTTTATCTGTAAGACTGACAAGTAAAATCAGAAGAGATTTTAAAAGAAAATCTAATACTTTTTTTTACTGTGCTTTACATAATCATCCTCAACAGACTCCGTCTTCTTGGTCTCAGTGTTTGAAGGAAGGTTTCTGCTATTACCTAATGAGCCATTAGGGCTGAAGCAACATCCAAAAAGCTCCTAATGAGCTCCAGCTACATATGTTGTAAGTGCTATGTCACCACTGATCCATACACTACATCTAAATCAAACTTCATCCAAGTGATTACATTAAACAGTCTATTTCATTCTATAGGCTCTATTACTAAAATAAGCACAAACAGGTATGTATTTTCCAAAAGTATCACCTACTTACTCACTCTGGCTTTAAAATTCTCACCTGGTGTTGCAGATATGTGAAAAGTATGTCTTATTCATGAATTCAATTTGCATACATCCCCTGATAAACAATTGTCTCTTCAAATGGCTTCTTTATTAACAAACCCATCTACCACATACACCCAGCCACTTATCTGCATGCACAAGGAAGCCCATTATCTTTGACACATGCATGTGTTGCCACCCTTGATGGCCAGGTTAAAAAACAAGCATGCCCCCACTCCTCAAGCAGCATCTTTTCTTAACCACCTTTCATTGCACTGCTGAGCACAGGGCAAGAAAA